GCAGGCGTGAGATTGAAGTGGAGCTGGTTCTGAGAGGGATGACCTGCCAGGCTGTACTTCACCGTCACACAGCCCTCTGCTGCCTCTGAACTCTGAGAGAGTATTACAGTGTTGGAAACAGATTGTATTATCATAAGTCAATGTGTTCTCATATGACAGTTTGCATGATATCACATGAAAAGTTATGCACATGGTCTGTATGATATCTTATGAATTACTGCCATGATATCTTACAATATGGACCCCCTACCGGTTAGGTAAAGTTCAGGTAAAGGATCTTGGTTGTCATAATGTTACATACTCAACATAACTTGATGACATGATGTGACGCAATTATGTTACTTAAGATAACTCAACATTTACTTTTGCTTCCACACGGGCCATGAAGAGCCAGTCTTCTGGGTCAAAGTCCTGTGTTTGTTTGACCCTTCCACCATCCTAACCTTCCTCTCTACGTGCGCTTTGTCTCGCTTTATAGTGCGTTTCCTGACGTCCTCCTCTGCTCCCATCATATGATGGAAGACAGCCTGCAGTCCATAGGTCATGCAATCACAGCCTCTTTGCTCACAGTTACATGGATTATATACAGATTACAGTGCATTATTTTCTTGTCGGTAAGTACAGACAGTGAATTCAAACAACCTGCGCAATTACATAGATTACATATTTTTCAAAGCTGATATTTCTAACCCCAAAGTTATTTCACTATAAGATGATGCTGCATCTACCTTTCCAGTAAGCTGGGCGTAAATCAGTGACCTCTGACCCTGGAAAAGTGCTGTGATTGGTGGAGAGAGAGCAGTGACAGAGACTCCCTTTGGCACATCCCAGTTGACTGAGACATCCACTACAGCTGGTTGCAGAGCAAATCGCAGCGACTGCATCACCTGATGAGTAAAAAAAGGTCACACAAAGCTAAGAGAGGCACTGGGTTTTTACTGAATGTATTTACTTACATCTATAATCATATGTTCTGTTGACGATGCACTGTTTATAAAAATTGTATGTAATGACTGAGATGTCTTACTTTGGGCTGCATCCTCTCTTTCGCTGTGATGAACTGAGCGTGACCTCCTCCTTCCTTGGCCAACCCGTTGATAAGAGCAGAGCTGGCCCCTTCCCCAATCCCAAAAGAGAAACACCTA